GTCTCTTCCAGCCTACAGGGATGTCCCACTGCCTTGGGCAGGGGAACAAGGCACTGTGCAGAGAAGAGGACATGGTTTTCTCCAGCTTTCTCCATGTGCGTCCTGCTGCTCCTTTGCAGAGTGCTGCAGTTAAGAGGCAAGGAGAGTTTCTGTTCTTCTCTGACATGGAGAAGGTCAGTGTGTAGCATCAAACAGCCCTGAATCATGCCACCTACTGAAGTCCCAGCTACTCTTGCGCGGCCACGTTCACACACTGCAGGCAGCCAGAGGAGCAGGGTTCAAGCACCTCATGACTGCCTGCAGGTGTCATTCCCCACCGTTCCTGGACAGCCAACAGCCTTGTGACATTTCAGACTCCTGTTCACTCCCCTGCCCACCCACAGAGAGACGGATCTCTTCCTCTCCACCTCTCCCCTTTACACATCTCTGTGTCTGTGCTTTCACCGGGGGCAGGTGGCTGGAAGGTGGGGATTTTCTCTATGGATTTCCAGTGGTTGCTTGTGGCCATGCTGCTCCCTGTGGGTAAGTGGGCTTCCCTTCCTCTTCAGCAGCTGCACTGGGGCTGCTGCTGCTGCTGCATCCTCAGCTGTGCTCCCAGTTGCTGGCAGTGCCCCTTTCCCATGACTCCTGGGGAGGCTGGGAAGAGAACCAGGTGAGCCTTTCCACCTCCTCTTGAATCAGGAAACTTTGCAAAGCTGAAAATTTGTTTTTTCCTGCCCCTTTTTAATACCTTACTTGAGAGTTCCAAAGTAATTATTTCTCATAACTGATTTACTATTGCATTTGAAGCTGGATTGTTGGTGTTTTTTGACCCTGTATGTCTTTCAGAGATGATCCTGTGTTCTTTTTTCAGAGGGCACTGTCCTTTTAGCTTTCTGATATACTGGTGGCATTCCATCCCATGGCATACTTCGACAATGTGTATTTTTATCCTCTTCGATGTAATCTTCTTCCCACCTGTCATGTCCTTTCCTTTCAGGCTGGGCCCTTCAGCAATCACCAGATACAATCGTCCGGGTGGGAGACACCGTGACTCTGGAATGTTCTGGATTGGGGAATGTGGTCAAGACCATGTACTGGTACAAGCTACCCACGGAGAAGGATGCCAGTATGCAATTGATTGTATATTCAGTGGAAGGTGGCAAAGCAGATATTGAGAAGGAATTCAAAAATCACTTCCAGAGCAATGGGACTAGGAATAACCATTTATCTGTGAAGATACAGCATGCCCTACTCAATGACACTGGAACATATTTCTGTGCTGAAAGTAATCCACAGTGACTCAAAGGCAGGTGGAGCATAGCACAAAGGTTTCCAGGCAAACAGGGATCTGCCACCAGCACACCCTGAGCCCTGTGTTTGACAGAACCCCATTTTCTTACTTGCCGTCCTGCTCTTCAGGCAAGACAGTGTATGTCTGTCTGTCCATCTGTCTGTCTTTAGCATGGTCTTTAGCTGCTTTTCTGTTCTTTCCCATCTCTGAATCACTTTCTGACTCTGCTTTCTTTTTGTCCTCACTGTCTCACCTCATTTTTCTGCTATTCACAGACTGCTTCTCATTTTCCTCCTTCCACGTTTTTCTGTCTGCCCCCCTGACTTTTCCGTTCTGTCCTCTTACACCTATTCATTTCCTGTTATTCCCTATTCCATTCCCCATCCATCTCTCCTTACTTTCTTTCTGTTTTGTCAACTCATGGCTTGGGAAGGAGGGTGTGGAATACTTCACACATCCCTTTTCTTCTTTGCATGCTGGAATGACAAGGCCCGCTCGTCCTTGGTGCTACTGGTCTAAAATGGAAATTGGCACATAGCTGTGCACCTGGGACCCTAAGTTACCACCACTATTCTGTAACCTGAACACTATAATATTTATGATATAACCCAACCTTGACTGTATTCAGGAACTGTAGGCAAAAAGCCCCAGGCAGCAGCAGATACTCATGGCTACCATCACTTCGAGCCTTTCTTCCTGCCCTCCTGCTACTTTAATTTCTTGTCTTCCTTTTAGTGTTCATCCTCTTTTAGATTTTTACCTTTTTATCTTTCTTTCTTATCTCCTGATTTCTTCCTTTCCTTCCTCACTTTCTGGCTTGTGTTTCCGCTTCCCTCCCAGTCCTCTAAGTCCTTTCTTCCTGCAGCTTTTCTGCCTGCCCTCCTCACTTCCCACCCACCTCTCTCCTGACCTTTTCTTGTTGGGATTTGGGACACTACAGCCTCGTTCCGTGACTCTGCAAGCAAAAAACATGACATCCTAATCATCAGCCTGGCAAGTTCTAACACTTCAATGTGGCAGATCCAAAGTCTCTACTGCAATGCCCTGCCTGCTACTGACCTCCTGGCCCTCACCACCCTCATCACTCTTCTGTTCCTCAGGCTGTGATATAAACTGTCTCAAAGAAAGGGTGACATGCTACAGCTGCTAGTATTTCCAGAGGAAAGGGGACAGGCAGCATTTGAGGATGAATTTCAGAATCAGTTCAAGAACTGTTGAAAAATGAACTATTACTTTTCCTGTTGAAAAATGAACTATTACTTTTCCTGTTGAAAAAGAACAGAAATTATGTTCAGCTTCAGAAACAAGAGCATGTAACTGATTGAAAGACTCTTGATGATGAGTCTACAGAGTGTTTCAAGACCCTGCCAATTGAGAGGCATTACAAATAATAAATATTTTCCCTTGAGTGATGTTCACTGCCACAGTGCTCCATATAAAAGCCTTGGAAGTTCCCAGAGAAACAGTACAAAATGTAGGGGTGCCTGAAAGACTTTATTAATTTCTCATAATTTCTGCTTGTCCAGACGCAAAAGAACAGAAATGATGATGAGAAAATACACATCAAACTAAACAAGCATCTCAGTGGGAGGCAATGGTGGACTGGATCCAGGAGACGTAGTTGCAAACCTTGGTGTAAACTCCGGGGTAGCCCTCCTGGGCACATCCTAAACCCCAGGAGACAATGCCCTGGAGCTCTCCGTTGCAGACCACAGGACCGCCGGAATCTCCCTGTGCACACAAAGGATATGGATATTCAGCAAATGGCATCAGCCTAAGCAATGAGCCAGAGATCCCTGGGATCACTGACTCTGCAGGAAGCTTCTCCTGGTGTACTCTGCACAAAAGTTCTCCAAGGGCTGTTCCTCATTCACACTCTCCACCTGATGCTACCATGTCTGACTTGAGCTCCAAGGGCATCACAGCTAAGGATGAGCCAGCTGCCTGTTTTTGCCAGATGCGGTACATGGCAAACCTTCAGGATTTGTGTGCCTGAAGCCTCTGCTGTCATTCAAAAACTCAGATTTACCAGTGCAGTGAGTATAGCTGACTCTGTAAAGTGAAGACCTCTTCAGCTGGGAAGAGGCAGGAGAGAAATGTCTGGGAAAGGAGAGGCAGATGATTTACCTGGCAGGAGTCTTTTCCTCCCTCCAGGAATCCTACACACATCATGTTGTCGGTAATTTGCCCAGGGTAGGCATCAGAGCACTC